AAGGCCAGGCTGGACATTGGGGCTGGGAGCAGCCTGGGACAGTGGGAGGTGTCCCTGCCATGGCAGGGGTAACACTGGATGGGCTTTAAGGTCTCTGCCAGCTCAAACATTCCAGGATTCCCCAATTCTACATTTCTGATTGTCCCTTTTGTGCAAGAAGGGGATGATCCAAAGTGAATAATGACATCAATGAATAATGAATAATGAATAATGACGTCAGCTCACTCAACAAAGGAGCAGCCTTGTGGACAGGGCGTGTCACTAAGCACCCACGGACAGCTCTGGGAGTGACCAAGGGCCCTGGACATCCCCCTGAGCATTCAGCTCCAGCCTGAAGGGCTCTCAGGAGCTGTAGAACCCCCCAAGCCCCTGCCCTGCTGCTCCCCAGCCCTGCCCTCCCTGGAATGGGCCCGGTGGCACTTTGGGAACGACAGCCCCAGGAGAGGAAGGGACAGTGTCCCAGAGCCAGCACAGGGCAGTGATCTCCCTTTGTGCCCCCTGGGCTGCACTAACTGACCCCTCACCTCCACCTGGAACATTCCAGATCCCGCTGTTCCCAGCTCTGCTTCCTTAGGCGTGAGACTGAATTGATGGGAACAGCTGGGAGCGAGCAGAGAGGGTTGGGAGGTTCCCCATCCTCAAACTGCTCTGGGTTTCCAGGGGAAGGCTCAGTTTGTTCCCAGCCCCTCTCCCAGGCTGCTGGGGAGCCCAGGGATGAGCTGGATACCCCTGGAGCATTCCTGGCCTGCYGTGAGGGACAGCAGGGACAGCTCCCCCAGCCCCACTGCTCCGGAGCAGCGGGAACGGGAYGTGGGAAAGTCTGGCTGAAGTGTTCACCCCATGAGGGAGAATCCTGCTCTGTTTCCAGCAGATCCAGTTCATTTGGAATTCACTCCGTGTGGCTGCTCTTAGGGGCGGCTGACAGCCAGGCCGGGAGTTCTTGGCCTCTCTGCCACCCTGGGCCTTATCCAGCCCAGCAGGAGCCCTAAATGGGGCCTTTCAGCCTCAAGTGCTTTATTTCAGGGGAAAAGAGCCACCTC